CTTTTGCGCGGCCCATTGCTCAGAGTTCTTGGCCTTCACGGTCGACGCAGACTCTTTCATGGTCTTCACCTGGCACGTCGACGTGGGCATCTCGTTGGGTTGCGGGTCGTCGGCGTGCGGCTTGTGAGTCTCAAAGGTCTAAACCCTCAAACCTAGGGGTGTATACTGTCTGCAGGAAGTGGCCGAAATGTATGTAGCATATAGCTGTTGATGTCTGCGCTAAGGGACAGGAGTTTGCCTGCACTAGGGGAATTGCGGACCATCGTATCTGCTCTGAATTCCGACCCAGCGACCCTTGATTCGCCAAAGGGGGGGTTCATCAACACAAAATAGGTTGAAAATAATGTCACATGATCACATGCTTTGCAACTAAAGGACTAACACACACTTGTGCTACATGTCAATCTTTGAATCTCTGGCTCGCGCCTGATCTGTGAGCTCCTTGTTCTCTGCCCTGAGAGCATCATTGTCCGCCTGTCACTTCCATTTGCAGAGCCATCTTCACTTGCTACCCCATGATGTCTTCTTTGCTGATTGCTTCTTCGCTGCTTTGGTAGCTGATTCGTTCAACTCTACAGCCACCTTGTGCCTAAACACTCCTTAAAACAGCCTCGTCCTCCGATTGACCCACTAGAAAATCCAACAGCAAGTAGAAGATGGTTCTTTTCCAAATCTCTGCTTGAGCTGCTTGGGAATTGAAGCAAACCCAAACAGCTTGGGGGTTCAAAGTTCAACGCCTCCAAAAATATCCCCTACCGTTGCACAAGCTCGACCAACGGTGACTGTGCAAACCAGGCCTGTGCTGCAGACAAATTGAGGCTCAACTCTTCCACCTGGAGTGTGCAGTCAGTCGATGGCGGCCAAGAAGGAAAACCAAATGGATCAGCTGAAAGGCATAGGGCCGCCATAAGGAATCTGGACTAAGTCCATCAGCTGCATCTTTCTCTACAAAAAAATCAAATAAAATCCAGAAAGACGCGCTTGCTAAAAGGTGAGGCCTCATCCTTTGCGATCTTGTGTTTCACCTCGAGAGCAGTCCATCAGCTACAGCTACAGTTTGCTTGCCCTTTCATCCTTGCTTCCTTTCATGGTTGTCTGTTCTTTCCCAACAGACAATCAGTTGCCTGCCTCCACATCGGACAAGCACCGCTTCAAATCAGTGCTCACTTGGCAAGCTTCTTCCAGCTTCCGTGCCATACGATTCCTTGGACCGTGCCATACGAGCGTCCATGCAGGGTGGGTCGTAGGTCGGGGGCCGCAGAAACAGTGCAGCCAAACAGCTCTTCGACGCCAAGCAGGTTTCTCAAGCCCGCTTTCATCAGCAAGGTATCATAATCCTCATGGGACGGCTCCTGGGCTTGCAATTCTCAATGTGGTCAGTGATCTGAGAGCTCATTTGCCAGTCCTCCATCTTGGAGGCCTGCTTCCGGGAGGAGCGGTTTAAGCGCTTGCTTTGCCTCGCAGCGGTGAGGCGGTGCGCAGCTCCGACTTTCACTTATGGTTTTGAGATCAGCGCTGAGAGATCATCACTCCCGCCAGACCAGCAAGCACGATGGGCGTGCACTCGGAAAAACGCTGATAGCTGTGCAGCCTGGAAGCGGAAAAAGGCTGAAAGAATCACAACACGACCGCGAGAGGAAATGGCATGATCGACCTTTCTCGTGGAGCTGCCGTGGCAGGACTGGCCATTTGAACCTCATCTCGCTGGAAATGCTGAGTAGTAGATTCCAATTCCAATCCATGATTCCATGAAAGTTTGTTTGATCCCTTGAACTGACCTGCTTAGGAAGGTACAGTCATCGAAGGGGAACAAAAAGCCAACATGGCTCCCCAAGCTTCGAATGGCTCACAGGCAGCGAGGCTTGTCACGCGCGCAAAGCAAACAGGCTTTTGGTCGCGGCTCAACACACACACAGCCAAAAGGGCTGCAGAAGCAAGCAAAGCACAAGGCTCCAAAGTGTTCATGGAGTCTCTCCTCCACGTGACCTTCTTGGAGTCTACACCCGCCACAACCAATGGAACCTTCCTGGTGCCGATGACGTCATCGTGGCAAAGAAGGTGAGAGCCCTTGGTGTAGACCTGACCCAAGGGCAGTCGCACACGTCGCAGCCGGGAGGGGAGCGACCCCAACAAGTCGCGGTGAAGCGAACCCCAAAACGCGTCGACCCACCTGCGAGACCGACGAGGTCGCGATGACCGACCAGCAAGTGGCGCAACTGGCCTGGGTCGCTAAGTCCACCCGCTCACAGAGCTCACCACAGCCTGTGACCTGATTCAAAGTATGTAAACCAAAGTTGAGAATATATTTGAAAATAGAAGAAGAGCTTCTAGATTTGAACCGGCCTCTTGGATGAGCTCGCGGTAGCCAGCTGATCTGATGGGACACAAGCAAGAAACAGAAGAAACAGAAGCCACTGAGCTACAGAATTCTCCAGAACCTCGCAAGCCATCTCAATCCAAACCGGGCATCGACTCACATCCCTCACAGGCCCCCAAAAGCACTACACACCGACCGTTTTTTTGAACGGATACACCAGCGACCATCCCATAAGCCAAGGCTGACAGTCCATGCAGGGAGGATTGCAATGTTGCGCCAAGAACGAGTCAAAGTTAGGCATCACTTGAAAGAAGAGTACAGTTAGTGACTAATGTTGAGTTGACAAAAATCAACACCAGCAAGTGTGACAATACCCCAGTAGGGGTTTCTGGGATTTGATCGGATTCCTTGCTGTTTCAATCAACGAGCGAAATCGCATGTCCAAGAACCTGGCGCGAAGACCTCAGTGAGGGCCTCCAAAGCCGGCAATTCATCATTGGCCTTACTCAAAGCATTTATACAAATAAGCTAGCAAAAGTGTGGATCTTTGACATGGACCCCTATCGAGAGCCAGGCCAGTTTCTGCTTCTTTCCATCACTGGCCTCATGACTTTTGGTCCGCGCTACCGCGATAGGTGCTATATACAGTAATCACTTCTGCCATGTGTAAGGTAACTGATCGCAAAACGAATCCGGGTTGCATCACCAAAGATCCCTATGCACTGCTAGGAACTTCCAGACTCCCCAGAACTTGCGAAGGAGACCAAGCGCAAGCAAGACCAAACCCCCCCCTTTGGAATTGCCGCAGGCGACACAACTGGCGTGACTGTGGGGGGCAGTGTTCAAAATGTAGCATGCCCAAATGGCATGGAAGCCGTTCCACTTCGATTCCGAACACTTTGACATGAAGCGATGACCAAAAGATGATCAAGTGGAACAGTGTGTGGTCCACAAACGTGACCGTACTGCTCTCCACAGCCGTGCAAAAGGGCAGAGCAAATTCCTCCGCCCAGAGTCTGCACAAGCACTTGTGGAAGATGGGAGGCACAATGCTTGGGATCCAAATGCTACAGAATTCAACAGCGTAGGATCTCTATGTTAGCTTGGCGAACTAAAACCGCCAATCCGGTGTGGCTTTTGCACCGATCATGCAGTGAACTTCAACCACTTGGGTGACTTCTCAAAAGCTGCCACAAAGTCCTTGCAGCACAGCGGTTTGACACAAAGGCGTTACAAGACCACCGCACGTCAAGGATCAGAGGTTTTCATTAAAAGAACATTCATGTTTTGGGGAGTTGACATGTCAAACTGAAGCCCCACAAAAACTGGGGAAATTTGTCAACTGTTCATTCCAATGTTCCGTCCTTTCAAGACAAAATGCTCTGTCTTTTGGATTTGTGAACCGTAGGGATCGCAAAAAAAACACGTATTTTCTCCTTGTCATTTTGGCAGGCAGACTTGATGTGACCCATGGGCAACAGCCTGCAAGCAGATCATCCGAGCGAAAAGGAGACCAGCATGACCGACTGGCTGGCAAAAGCACTGAAAAAGCAAGGACTGGTCAATCCTGGTGAATCAGTCTTGGCGCCTCAAAACGAAGTGGTCAACCAGTGGGAGCTCCTGGAAACGGCTTGTGATGCCACGAAGCGAGCGACGTTCGATGTTTACTGGCTTAGTGATCAACCATGTCGTGATCGTGGCGATAAAGCAAAATCAAATGCTGCCATCCACTGTTCTAAAGAACCAAAATACAATCCAGCGCATGGACCGTTAAAAAGTCACTGCATCCTCTATGCTCGCAACAGAGCTTGCGACGACGACATTCCACGGCTCACAGCTTTGGCCTGAACTGGATGGTTGGACAAAAGGATATTCAATTGATCTGATGCTTTGGGAAATATCGTCTTGCTAGACATGATATTGGACATTGGTGTCTTTTCTGCTCAGTGAAAATACACGTTTCTACGTAAGACAGTGACACCGTTGCTGGAAGGAGCCGTCATCTTCTTCGTGACAAGGCCTGGAGTTCTGCCAGGTCGTGTGCGAGCTTTACTCGAGTTCGTTCTCCCACGGCTTGACACGTCCGCTGAGGGTGTGACACGTCTTGACATGCAGTCCTGAAGCTTCAAGTCATCGTTCGAAGCATATCCAAAGATGCGAAGCACGGATGCAGACGGGGTGCCTCAATGCCTCTTTCGTTCGAGCGCTGCAATCGGTTGCAATGGACATCACCAAACCTTCCTGGCAAGAGTTCATTCCCCCAAGAAGCTGCAAAAAAGTGGCTTCGCTCCAAAAGAAAGTGACTCCAGGCTCCTTCGCATTCGTGAGGATGAAAGGCAACAAATGTAAAAGAACAGTGGCCAGGTCGTCCTGGCATGGAAAAAGTACAGAACTATCACAGTGGCATGTCGAATGATCCTTCCCAATCATCTTGAGTTGAATCTGTCCTCAGCTCTGACTCGAAGGAACGTAGAGACCTCGCGCAAAGGTGGGCGCCTGGCGAATTGCCGGACGCTCGGACGGTTGGTCAAGAAAGTTGACCAATCTGCCGTTCGGTTGACTTGCATCTAAGACACTGGAGTCCCCAAAGAGTTGTACGATTGCCAAAACCATGCTTTGCACCGCAGCTCTCCTCAGGCATCATGCCAGTCCATATTGAAGCTTCCTCTCAGTCCTTTAAAGTCTATTTTAGGGATTGGCCAGCAAGATTAGAGCTAGCACTGCAAAAGCTTCTAAGAGCTTCTGGGTGAGAATCTTTAAGGTATTCTGCTAGGAGAACAGCATAGCCTTTCATCTCCACTGGAACATCCCCAAGAATGTCTGCCAGGCCAAAGGATTGAGCTCGCTTTGCAGCCTCCTCCAAGAAGCTTTTCTCATAACGGGCCATGTAGGAAGGGGTGCTTGAAGGCACAAAGACTGGGCCACAGGTATATTTGCCCATGTCCAAACGTGGAGGAAACTCGCCAAAGATTTCTCCATCTTGCGGTCGTGCTTGTGCTGTGAGGGCTGGCTTTCCCTCGCGCCCCACACTGTAAATAGCTTGTGCCGTGGACTGAAATAGCTGATGCATGATCGGGAATCCTTCATCGTCGCCGTTGACTGCAAGGGTGATTGGCTGCTCCGTGGTCAGCCATCGTGACAAATCTCCCAGGAACTTTGGGTCTTTCACTGAGGTGTCAGTTGGAGTGCTGACATCCAGGTAGACTCGACGCCAGTGTTCCTCAACCCCGTTTGGGGTCAACCCTCGGGAGATGCGATAGGCCAACGGCTGCCCGCCCGGTGCGGAGGGAAGCACTTCGTAGCCATCTTTGACTTGGAAGCCTTCGGCCCATTGGCGAAACAAACCATCGAAAGCTCCCTTGCGAAGGCTTTCCGCAGAAGAGTCTGTGACTTGCACATCTTGAAAAATCCTTTTCAAGTCTTCTTTGGTCATGGAGTCCGTTACCAAATGCCGCATGGCCGTACACTGGCCACTATTTTCGATGGTGCTTGACATGCGCGTGGCAGCTTCAATGTCCCCGTCGAGCTTGGGCGCAACCATCGTATTTGGGCCACCCGTGCCTCAGTTCCAACATCGTTCGATCAGCTGCAACCAAACAAGACTTTGGTCGCCTGCAAAAGTGCAAAAGTCCTTCTACTTGAGAATCCAGCACTAAAAAACTCATCTAGATGGAAACCTCATTGTTCTACGCCTGTCAATTTGGCAAATGTGAACAGCCAAACCGAGTGGTGTTCTCTTCAGCTGTGGAGCTGGCGAAGGTGTAAGGCATCAACTCTTTGATAGCTGCTGCAACCTCGCGGCTTCCTGTGAGATAGAGAGGGCTTGCTTTCATCATTGACATGATCCTCCGTTGCTCTTCAATACTGCAGGAGACATAGCTGACCAGAGAAGTGTCAAGGCCTTCTTTCTTCATCTCATCCTTAGTTGCAAGTCCTCAAGACCGGGGAAACCAAGGCCACTGTTCTTCTTGCAAAGAATCGATAAACTGCAAGATTTCCCTACCTCTAAATCTGGGGCTCCAACCAGAAGAAGTTGAACCCAACGGTACATGTGCTGGGTGGTGTTCGATCGCGAAAGCACCAGCACTGGAATGCCAAGTTCAATGTTTCGGAGGGTCTTTCGGCAGAGATCCAAGAAATTGGAGAAGTTGGATACGCATCCAACCAAAGCAGTCTGTCTCTGTATTCGAACTCGACCTGCCAATTCATCTTGCAAGAGCAGGTCATTGAGCTTCCTCTCCACAACGTTGGCTTCAATGGACTCTTCAATCTCGGTCACACCGTCTTGCTTGTGGAAATCCATGGCCTGGTTGCCTATGAGGAAAGCTGCATGCTGAGAGAGAAGCCGTTCGTCAATGCGACGAATCTCGGCTCTGAAATCTCTTCCCAGATCCAAATTTTGCACATGATCTAAGACTCGATCGACAACTTCAGAAGTGGCCAAGATTTGCTTTCCGTTGATCTTGCCAAAGGCATCTACCGTGTCACAGGATTCGCCCTGATTCACTGCATGCCCTTGAATCAGGGTACATACAGGGTCGTCAAACCAGGCTTTCGAGTCGAAGTCTTCCAAATATTTCACCGTGTTGCTTCGCAAGCTCTTCACATCCACAGGGGGGATATTCCCCAAAGGAGGAGACGTAGGAAGGCGAAGCAAAGTGGTAGGACCTGCGAGAGAGCCATTTTCCCGAATTAGTGTGGGCCCTGGGTGCACCACTTGAGACACATCTTCAAACTTAAGAGGAAGCACTCGCCCAGCCTCTGTTGAGCTTGAAAGCCTAACCAAAAAATTTGAGTCAACAAAAAGGCAATCCATACACTTCAGAACACCCTGCCTGCGAGAACAGCACCAGATCGCCTGATGCGGCTTGTCCTCCAGAGTCGTGCAACAAAGGCTTCCAAAACTGTCAGAAATCCTGCAACTTTCAATAGTTTCACTCATTCATGTCCTGTTTCCTCCAAATCTCCAGAATTCTACAAATCTCCAAAGCCTCTGTTTTTTCTCAATTCCTGTTCCAAACTCCCTCATCCAAGCTCAGCCTCGCCAATCCACGTTCTAAAGCGCTGCAGCGTGGCACTGGCCTGCCAAGCAAACACGTGAACATTTGCAGTATACTGTATACTTCTTTCTCTTGTAGGTGCCCGGCATTCGGGATGCTTAGCAGATTCAAGCGACTTTGATGGCGAATCGGTCTGCAGCTTGAGCTTCAAAAGCTGCGAGCTGGTGCTTTATGCTGAGGTGTTTTCCAATGTTTGTTTCACGACAACTCCGGTATTTTAAATCATTATCACGTTAGGTCAGTACCTTGGAGAGTCTCGGCGCCAAGTCCTCCAAGAAGCTCGTTACATTGACTATACTTAATTTCCTGCTTGAACTGCTGCCCAGCAATCTTCTTCAAACCGTCCTGAGTTTGGAAGAAGCGAAACAAATCCGTCTCCTTCTCTGCAGCATCGACCTGAAAAGTCACAGGACGCACGGATTGGCTTTGTCCAGTGGCCAGTCACAATGGCTCAGCCGGGGCTACAACCTTCTGCACCTCCTCTCTTACTGCTTGAAGCCCTTCTGCTCCCAAGAATGGCCGTATGACAACCTGATGGATTTGAACTAGGCCTTGGCTTTTCTCGCCATTCTCGTGTGAGTGGACTCCAATTTTGTCACTTCAAGACATGCCAGTTGGACATGCGGATACGGCTTTGCATCGCGAAACTCCGAACGCAAGCGCCTCGGTCGATGGTTTTATCACTTCACGGTCCAAATTTCAACGCTTGACAGTGCTCGCCTGCGCACATCTGGTTTGCTCCACTCTTCATGACAGCCTTTGCACAGATAAACATATCAGGAGCTCTCTGAACTAAACGACTATTTCTGTCCACCCAATGAAAATGAAGCTACATGAGGAGGGCACATATGAATGGCATTGCACGAGGCACTCTAAAGCCAAAGTAGTGTGATTGAGAATTGTCATTCACCTGATTGACCATGGCTGTGTCTTTTGTTCGGCAAAGTAGCTAATCCATAAATTTGCTCTGACTCACCTGCCTTCAAAATTGCCTTTGCTTCGAAATCAAGCGTGAACTGTTCTGGAGTGGTCATAGCATCTCCAGTACTGTCAGCACTTTGCAATACCCTCACCATGGAATAGGTGCACGCTGGCATGGTGCATTGTGGGTGCACTGTGCTTCATGTCTTTTTTTCCTAGCTCAACAAAAGCTTCGGCGGCGCGTTTTTGCAAGCAAGGTCGGACCAATCATTGAAAACGACATTCTGCAAGAACACATTTTGGGCATTGTCACGGTCTTTTAATGCCTTTCTCTGATAGTCTTTCATCTTTCGTTTTTTTGCCAAAGAGAATGATTGAAGAATGGACAGTGGGTTGGTCTGAAAACCTTTGCATGTGAATGTGGGGGTAAACACATGGAAAGGTCTGGCAAACAATAACTACGTGTTTCAACATTCAACACGAACAGTCAGGAGCCTTGTGTTGTGCCGCAATCCACAAGTCAGTTCTTACCCCATTGATACCAAGCATTCCTGCCGGCATAACTAGTATTCATGCAATAATCGCATCATTGTTTTTGCAAGATTTGGACTGCGCTCGCCAGAAACGCTTGGCTCCATTGGTTTAGAGCGAGCTCAAGCATCCAACAAGCAACAAAGAGGACAAAACACACAGGAAACTTGGAGTGGCAAACGGTGAACTGCATGGTTCCGTTGGAATGACGAGAAGAAAAAATGGATTGGATGGCACGGGTCGATGGCAGCTTTCAGTTTGATTCTTAGCTACCTGGAGCAGAAAGATTTCGCCACATACCTCCATAATCCGCAGCTGCTGCCATTACTGTCCTTCTCCCTTTATTGCCAATCCATGCGGGATTGTGAATTCCAGACATCTTCAACCGTCTTGATGGCAGATCTCCCCCCCAAGCAACTATCAAAATACTCGGTCCGGAAGAAACGCAAATACGAGCCCCGAGTGCACCAAGTCACGCAAGGTCACCCAAAAAAAGAGAGCTTCCATGTCCAAGTCCTTTTAATGGTCGGCTACCAAGGACTTTTGAGTCCAAGGACATGGAAACCAAGTCCAAGGACATTAAAAGCTTTGGCTACTTGGTCACGAGAAACCTTCCAAGTCATACATGCTCGACAGCCAAGGACTTCTTCCACCCCCGGCATGCGAAGGGTGAGGCAGGTGCTTCGACAGCCAGCGCCCCAAGCAGGTGACCAAGTGACGGCAGGTCAGCAGCAACTTCCAACTTCATATGGTCATGATAGCTCTTGGACAAAAATGTGTGTGTATATATATATATCCTGTATAATATATTGTTCGGGGTGTATGACAGTCACGGCTCTATCAAATCAAAGGTGTATTGAAGTGTATTGAACAAAATTAGAGAAAAATACTGCAGTACTGCTCAGGATGCTGTTCATTCTGATGCATTTCCAACTTTATGCATTTCAACAGTGGGATGCCCCATGTTGAGGCAGTCATCACTTTTCCAGGAAAAGTTGCAACCGCAAAAGCTTCTCAGAAAACGCACACGATTCCATCCCTCAACAGTGCCAGGTGTTTGAGCGGGAATCTGGTGAGGGTGCAAACCTCGGGGGCCGGGGGACAGTAAAAACCTCAAACCAAGATCTCTATACAATATCGATGTGATCTTGGTCATGATATCCTATCATATATATATATATATCCTCAGAAAAAGATGTGCATCGATGTGCACAAATGCTGTTGCTACAGGAGGCTGGTATATCAACAGCTGCTGGGTTCAGCCATCAACGTCCTGTATTGGTCAGCGCAGACCAGTGCCGGCAGTGAAACAAAACAGGTCAACCGCCAGCCAGTCATGCGAGCAGCGGCCAATTTTGCCATTCGCCATAGTTCACTCCTTCATGAGGATCTTCTCCAACATCGTCCATCCTAGCATAAAAAGTGACCTCCAAATAGACTGGACTGTGAATAACAGGATGACTGGATAGGGAAAAAAACATGTGAACATAATTACGTTCCGACTTGAGGACCAATACCTCAGCAACCCTCCAGCTGTCTGGCGGTTCCTTTGGCTTTTCTGGCGTTTCCTGTCCTCGGTCCATCGGCTTCAAGAGTAAATGGCATCCACTTCTCTCAGGAGGTCGAAAGGCGTGAGGAGATCTGCTGCAGTCACTGCCTCAAATCGAGGAGGTGTCGATTTGAGATTTCCACTATGTTTTAGTGGTTTTGTGGTCTTGGAGGTTTGAGTGCTCTTTATTGTATTCGTTTCTGAATCCTGAATGGCCATTGTTTTGCCGGGGAGGCGGTTCAACAAAACTAGCTCAAGCATTGGTGCGTTGTCTTGAAAGGCTAGGGTGCTGTCAGGAGTGGAAAGAAGGGCAAGCGACCTGCCCCTCCTCTTTCACCAAAAAACATGGCCTCTTCGAAGTCAAGAGCATCGAATTCCACCCATGTTTCTTTGAGCTGCAGGGTTGAATTTCCACTCATGTCCTGTGGACCATGGTAGCACGGATGCTCATCTGACTGAATGACGCCTCTAGGCGCTAACACCTGAGAGTACCTGATCCATAACTGACCACCGGAGCGTCTTGATCTCCTGGATTTGCTGGCAGTTGGCGTTCAGTCGTGGCAACCAGACCACCCCACTTCTTGCCTCCAACCAGACCACAACACCAGCTCTTCCAGTGGTTTGCAGTCTCCACCGAGACCCTCCCACAGCAGATCCACGTGGACTCAAACGCCGCGACGCCACGTGGTTTCGGCTTCGAACGAAAAACGCCTGGCCGCGCCCTGGCCTGGCCACGAGCCATCTTGTACAAAAGAGTGCCTATGATGATCTTCTCGCGCCTCAGCGAAGCGAACCGTGTCGTGGATTCTTCACAAGAGAAAGCAGCGGTTGTTGAAACAAGCTTCCCCATTGAAGGACATTGATGTTTGTTGCACTTCAAAGACATCTGGAATGCCTAGAATGAGCTTTTGAAATTCTTCCATGAAGAGCCACGTGGAATCTGGCGAAGGCACGGGTTGACCAAGTGGAGGTTCCCCTCGGTCACCACGGTTCGGAAGTGTCCAGCACTTCTCGCACGAACGAAGTCACCATACTCCTGGGAGAGACTGTTGGATGATTAGTATATAAATATCCCGAAACTAGGTTGGAGGTCATCGCTATTAGGTTGGAGGCCATTCCTATTATGTTCCTGTTGCTGGAGGCCATCGCTTTTAGTATCAATTGCGAACCAAAGCCTCTAGACAAACGGACAGCTCAGTCTTCCCAAGTGATGGTTTAATGGGGGTTGGCTAAAAGTAGGTTCGTCCCGTTGGGATTGGTTCGCAAGAATCCGCGGCATACAGAATTGAGCTGGATAATTGTCAGCCCTAAAGAACTGGTTTCAAGAAGAAATCAAGAGGGCCACTTCCAGGGCACCATGTCAAACAACCAACCATGCTTCTTTGTTCGACTGCAGCGTGAAACCCTTTGCCCTTCAAGAAAAGCACGTGAGCTTCTAAAGCGCGTAACCACCTGGTTTAATGCCTTCATTTCTTTTGATCTTGGAATGGGGGTTAAACATTCCACCATGTTCACCTGCCAATTTCGGTGGCATAGATCCACCCCACCAGCGCTGTTGCCCATGGCTGGTGCCCTGGATCCGGCGGTGCTCCTGGATCCGACGGTGTCTTCCACAGCCGTGGAAGCAGCACGGATCTGCTTCGTGGAGGAGTTGAAGACCTCGCAGAAGTTGGAGTTCATATCTGGAAACTGCAGGACGAAGCTATATCAATCTTAGTTGTGGATGAGTGGAATCAACATGGAGTTGGATGAGAGGACAGCCATAGTAAATCCTCTTGTCTCAGAAGAACACGTGTTCATTTCATCAAAGGAAGTCCACAGAAACGCGTCTGTTGTTTGAGCAAAATCCTCTTGATTTCCAGCGTAACCCTTTTGTGTCAGAAGGAGTTTCTTTGAGTCCACAGATGTTAAGAATGAACCTTCCTTTAAAAAGACATCCTCAGATTGAGCCGTCTTTAAAAAAGGGAAGCCTCTATCGGTCGAAAGAAAGTGTTCCTCTTGATGTTTAGAGCCTTTGGAAAGAAGGAACCCTGTCCAAGGACACTTCCGTTTTGTATAGCCTGTAGCCCACATGACCAATGCAGTGACCCGCATGTTTGACTTCGTCTTTGTTGGGCAGTGGACAAATTTAGTGGCACGGTGCCTCTTAATCCATCGAAATCGCTCGCAAGTCCGAGACACACCCCGGGCCCCAAACTCTTTTGGCTCCAACTACCGGGACTGAGATTGTGGTTTGGTGGCGGTTTCGTCGACCCGTCGCAGGGTCCATGGTACGTTTCTTCCCAACACATCCACTGATTCCCAAAGTCATTCACACAGGAAGTTCGGAATAGGCCAAACATGTGTTGTTTTGGAATCCTTTTCTGGCCTAAAATCACCGAGATGAAACCTCCGGTCCACGGCGCTCGTCCGGTGCGGCTCCAACGCTGCGAGGACATACAAGGCCGTGTAATTGCCTCGACGCTGGCGAGAGGACGCGGGGGGGACGAGTGGGTCTGAGTGGCGGTGGCTCCAAAATAAGGAGGGTAACCACAGGTGAACCAGGTCAGCGCAGCGGCGCAGCGGCGCAGCGTTTTCATCCTTCCCGGACCGTTCTTTTTCGAGAAGGTTTTGTTGGCGTGGCTTAATGCAGCGGAAGCTGTCGTGCATGGCATGGGTTTAGGACAAAGTGGCAGCTTTGAGAATTGAGTTCAGGGTTTAAGCTACATGGCTTTTCTGGGGTGCAATGAGTGGGCATGTTCCCACAGTAGCGATGGTTGGGCATGGTCAACCCTACAGAAAAAATTGAAAACACCACCTTAATTCTCACACACATACAAACACACACAAACATAAGAGCCTTGTTCTTGGTATGTCTTTAGAACAAAGGGATCTAGACAGCTTGTGTTTTGTGATCTGGAAAGACTTGAATACTGTTTTCCATCTCCTATTTGCCCCTATCTCAAGCTTGATCTACTGCCTTCCTGATCGCTGCCTAGCCACCAATGCCAGTCCAGTGAAGGTTGCAGAACTGCTCGAAATCTTTGCTCGTAAGCCTCAGGCAGGCCAATTGACGGTCCAAGTTGTCTTTGGTGCCTGCAAATTCTCGTATTTGATGACCACACCGACCAGAAATCCAGAGCTCAGGGGTACTTCCTAGCTGTTTATGGTGCTTCCAGCCGTGACAAATATGGGTCATTGGGAAGGCCTTGAAACCACCGACCATCCCTGCGAATTACAGGATTTGCCGTCAACAGGACCACTGAGACGAACAGAATGGTTTGAGTTTACCTCACGGTGTCACCACCCGCTGTCGCACAAGCTCCACGACTCAGCTGTCGCGAAAGCTCTACAAGCATAGCTTCACTGTTGGGTCGTCTCCCCACCTGTCCATGGATCAGTAGATGAGAAACAAGTCCTCCCACAACATCGACGCAGACCAACCCAGAGGTCTATTGCCTGTTGCCTTACTCTGCGCCTTCCGCATGACTTCCGTAAGATGCATATGTTCGTCGTTGAGAAACCAATAATTAGTTAAAAAAACAATGTTCCTTTTCGATTCCTTTTCGCTATGGGCCGGAAAACTAAAGAAACATGATCGAAAATACCTTGATCTCTTTTCAGGCGGGTCCCGAATTCGGAGGCGGGTCATCAGCCGCGGGGTTCCGGAGTTTCCCCAAGTTATGAAGAAGGAACTTTGCATCACATTGCCATATGGCGCAGTTGGCATGCATCACATTGCAGAGATGTTGTCAGGCTGATATGCCGACATGGTGTCATGTTGGCGTGTTCTGTATAATGCTGTTCTGCGGATGTGCAAACACAACATGTTGTCATTCTAGCATGCTGACATGTGATCACGGTGGGATGCGAAAGTCAGATCTTGCTGTCGTGCTGACATGTCAGGAGGCTCCCAAGCGCACTCCGGAGCAGGTTTGCTAGCTCTTGCTTGTTGCGGCGGTAGACACATGTGCTACGCTGAGACGCCGACATATTGCACTGCTGTCATGCTTGCACGGCACGTTGAAGAGGTTCACATGTTTCAGTGAACTTGAAATTTGCGAGTGGATATTATCCTTGTAACCGGGAAGGTTTACAAAGCTGCCCTATGCTCCATTCACAATCAAAAGGACACGCGGCCTTTTTCCTCCAATAGGGGCACTTGAGCCAAATAGTTGGCGGTCATCACACGATGTATACTGTCTGTATATATTTTATACCTGGCCTATCGCTGCACTTCCATTGACACCCCCCCATGTATCCCATGCTTTCAGCTTTGGATACAGATGGCAAAATCAAGGGTAAGTGTGCTGTGCGTCAGGTTATCGAATTGATGCCGTGAGGCCAAAATGGACTCTGTACTACGCAACACTAACGGAACTAAGCGGACTTTCTACATATAAATGTGTGAATAGACCTATTGGCTGCGCATCTGAATTTGAGAACGATAGTCGAATTGGCCACGCTCAGAAAACTCTCAGTAGATCTTCGTCATGAGGTAGTCCGAAGCTGTGGTGACTTTCCCAACTATAAAACGTTCATCTGATGATACTCTTACGACTGACAGGGGTTCATACTTGGTAATTTAAACTTGTCTCAATGTCCGGTATCTTCCTCGTAGTCATTCTCATCTGCATCATCCCGGTCATCGTAGCCTTCCCAATGTCCAGGGTCTCTCCTCTGTCTCGGGTTGGTCCACTGCCCTTCTCGGAATGTTGCATCATATGCGTTCATGTTCATAGCTGGTGGCTGCCAATTTTGGGCGTATCCATTTGCGCACCCCCAAAAAAGGTTGGTAGCCCTTGGGGCCATAGATCTTACCCTCGCCACCCTGCTTGACGTTGGCGTTCTCCTTTCCTCTGGTGGCTTGATGGTGCTGCCTCGGATCACGGTGGACGGTGGACGTTCGATCTCGGGCGCAACGCTCGGCTGTGGCGGCCTTTCTGTGGATTGAATGTTGGTAACATTCGCTGCATTATCATACTTGTCCATTAACCGCCTGACTTGCTCCAATTCCAACATGCCGTTCCAACGTTTGAAAGCTCGCACGTGCGTGTGTGTCTGGTCATCTCTAACAAAACCTCTCGTGCCTTAGGCGGAAACTTGATCTTGGATTGGATTGATCCAGCGCCAGTAGAATCGATCGGTCCCATCTCTTCTCGGGCCTTGAATACACAATGTCAACGGTGTTGATGCGTTTGTGAGTCGCACTGTCAGTCAAGTCTTCCCTGAACTAAGAAAATGTCGCGACATCATTGTAGATGGCGTTCATGCATTTCCTGATCATCCTTCACATTATGCTCGATTCTGGCGTATAGCCAAAAGCGATTGCTTGCAAAGCGAATCTACCAATGGTGCGTTCTCCTCGGAAGCGATGCCACGCCTCTTCGATTGTGTTACTGCGATGAGTCGCAAAGGTCTGCATCTGCTCATCCGTGGGATCCAAAGGCATACCGTCGTCATCTAGTCCGCTGAAAGGGATCTGGGCCATCACATCAAGCCCCTTTCTCCTGAAAAGGGTCTTGAAGTCAACTATGCTCAGTAAGTGATATGATTTGTGCAGCGGCGCAATGAGTTGTGTCACGCAACGCACAATGTATCTGTCCATCAGGCCGGATGAGCCTTTGCCTCCGTCTTGACATCCTGCTTCGTCTTGCAAGTCAAATCGAACTGGTTCTGGAAATCTGCACCAGTTGGGCAATTCTTGATTTGGCAAGCCGATGTCTGGATCGAAAGAACGCGTCATAATCTTCATCGTCAACTTGGCCTCGTTCATGTGCTTGCTCAGCGTGCTCGATTTCAACATCTTCGGTCACTTTCTCTGACGACGTCGGATGTTCAGTTGTACTTTTGATAAGGGCATCCATTTCATCTAGCTCTTCTTCAATCACTGGCGCCAGAGAGTCTCTATCGACTTCTGCTTGGTGATCACTCTTCCGAGCTGCTGGTTGGGCCATGATCTTATCAAATTCCAAAGCTGACTTCCTCGTCTTCTTCGTTGTCAGTGACCTCAGATTGCACAACATCCTTGGTTGCGTTCATCATCACCTCGTCTATCATGTCTTGATGTTCTTTGTCAAGGTCTTTGGGTTGCTCCATTTACACGTCCTTCTTGACCTTGGTCTCCTCGTCAATCTCGATGATCGTCGTCGTGGCTACTGTATTTCTCATACCGCAACTCATGAATCGTCCATGACAGAGAAGACAGATAGTGAGAGTATTTGGTATCATATTCACGCAAACAGGACAGAGGATGTTGCCATCAACGGTTCGAAAACCTTCGCAAGTTCCATGGCTTCTTCATGTCGTTGAAATCCTTGGAGTTGATGATATCATCTAGCTTCCAGGCGTTCTCATCTTTCTTCGTGCCTCCCGCAATGACTTCTTTCGCCTTCTCAATGATTTGGTCCTTTGTGGCAATCTTGTTTTGATGGGTAGCGGCGGTGATGAGGTGGTTGGTAACCCCTCTTGCCAACATCCTCTTCCATTCGTTGTCTGTTGGATCTTGGTACCATGCTCCTTTGACGCGATCCCACGCGATCTCTTTGAACATGATGACATAGGAACTCTCGGCAAGGCGTGCACCGAGGCTCTTCAAAGTAGCAACAGGTAAATACAGAACAACTGGAATGTCAATGGTGGGGATTCTTGATCTCAAAACGTCTCGCGCTCGATTGTCCCACGGCGCAAAGCGATTGAAGCAAGAAGTTCCTCTTCTGTTCCACTGGGCAAGATACCAAGTTTCATTCTTGGACGAAACCCTTCCGATCGATTTCACATGAAAGCTTCCTCCCGGGCTGATAGCAATAGGGTCAGTGATGTCACGCGATGTGAGATGTGGATACAGAGTGACATCGTTCTCGCTTATCTCCGTTTGCTGGGAAGAGGGATTGCGCGAGGACACTGCTCTCATTGCCACTGGAAACAGACAGAGTTCATGCCCCCTAAAGTAGTACGCATCGTTCCGGACTTTGAAGTTGCTTTTCCAATACTCTCTTTGTTCCTCTTTCATAGCGTCACCAGGGGAAATGCGGACTGGGGCAGTTTGGAATCTGACACGGTTCTGAAGCTTCCTCGAAAACCACATGGCTTGACAACATCGGTAGTATCGTGTCATCAGCATTTCCGTCAGGTATCCTTGCTTCTTTGCATCTCGTATCTGGTTGCCGTTGTTATCATTGAAGATATGGCCATACATGAGCACGTCTTGTACGTTCACCCATCCTCCCTCATTGCATGGAAGACTTTCATGCACACGCCCAGACTGTGAGACTACAGTCTCTTTCCCGGCTTGATGCCTCAGGATCTTGTTGAGTTTCCTGCTGATAGCATCTACCGCGGCGTATTCATCTGTGTCCTTGTCGATGTAGCTCCTCATCTTGAAGGTGGGCGGTTGCGCAAAACCTGATCTCGTTCTTCCCTTTTCTCCGTTCCATTGTTCGACACAAAGGGTGGTACCGGTTTGTGGGATGACCTCGACGTTGCCGCTGGGTCGTCCTTCAACTCTGCGACTTTTTGGCAACTTGCTGCCGGCTGTCTGAGCTCTAATCAGGATTTCATCTAGTCCACGTTTCTCATGTGGCCCAGACACGTCCACATTGCGATTCATGAGCTTGAAGGGTCCTCCTTCTTGTTCATCAGCAAATGCCCTTAGATCCACAGGGATACTGAACGTCGTGTAGATTGTAGCATTGCCAAGTGAACGCTTCATGTACGCGACGGCCTTCTCATACTCATTCTTCGCTCCTTTCAATGACTGTGATTGAGATTGCTTTGCAGCAGGAGTCGGTGACTCTTCGCCTAGACATGGTGTTTCTTCTGGCAGGTCATAGGCTCCCACCTCAACATCTTCGTCATCATCAACATCATCTTTTGAGGTTCTTGCTCTTTTCTCTTTTCGTTCAGCTCGATCTCTCTTGATGATCTCGATAGGATCCCTTCTATATGGTCAAAAGCTGCGACAATCGCCCCCATCGCTGCAGCGAAGTTGTCATTGTCACATTTCTCCATTGAGCGCTCATTCGATCCACAACATAAGCATATTGGCTTTCCTTGG